GCCCGGGGCCGCCGGGCCTGTGCCCCCCCCCCTGGTGCCCATGGGGCTGTGCCCCCCCCCACTGCCCTGTGCCCCCCCGCTGCCTGGTGCCCATGGGGCTGTGCCCCCCCCCACTGGCCTGTGCCCACCCACTGCCTTGTGCCCATGGGGCTGTGCCCCTCTTGCTGCCCATGGGGCTGTGCCCCCCCACTGCCGTGTGCCCCCCAGTGCCCATGGGGCTATGCCTCCCCCACTGGCCTGTGCCCACCCGGTGCCCGGTGCCCATGGGGATGTGCCCCCCCACTGCCCAGTGCCCATGGGCCTGTGCCCCCCCACCTGGTGCCCATGGGGCTGTGCCCCCCCCCACTGCCCTGTGCCCCCCCGCTGCCTGGTGCCCATGGGGCTGTGCCCCTGGGGGCTGTGCGGCCCGTGGCTCTGGTGCCCACCTGACGTGCTCAGGGATGCGGAAGGTGCCGGTGTACAGGCCCTTGTCCAGTTTCCGGGTGGTGCTGCTGACTGTGATGCCCTCGGGACTCTGGGGCGGGAGGGGGATTTCAGGTCAGTGGGGCGCAAGCAGGCCTCCCCAGGGTACCTTGGGGGGCTCTGCAGGGGGCGAACCCGGCTCGTGAGCCTCTGGTGGGTCCCTGGTCGGCCTGAGGCCTGCCAGACTCGCTACACCCACCACGCCGTTGCCAGGACACGTACCCGCGGGTGGAGGCGCAGCGTGGCCCTGGCGCCAGGCCCAGCGCTGTCCGAGGTGCTGCCAGACTCGGTTCTCGGCGTGTCTGGCAAACCCCGCAGCGGCCCGACCCAGGCCAAGGAACCAGCGTCTGCCCAGCCTGGGCGCCAGGCCGAGCCATGGGCATTTCTGTGTAACACCTTGTTGGGAGTGTCATGGGGGGGCAGTGCCCTGGGGGGGCAATGTTATCGGGGCCCCCACAGGCCAGTCTCTGCAGGGGACTTTATGCGCCATGACATACCGTCCCCAGGCCTCCAGCAAGGGGTTGGCTGGATGGTGGGTGAGGGGGATACTGGACATTGGGGGTCTGGGATGTTACCGTGCTCTGGCTGCACCATTCTGGTGGCAGCAATGGGATCACTAGCCCCACCCCTTCTGATGGGTTAGCCCCACCCCCTTCTGGGATTGGCTGTAGTACCTGGATTGCAATGATGCAGTTAGCCTCCAGTGGGTCCATCCGGTGGTTGACGGCGAAGACCCTGTAGTTCACTGGAGGGGTGAAGAGATGGGAGATGTTGGGCTGGTTGGGTAGCTAACCTGAGTGCTGAAGCCACTGGCTGCGCCCCCCGCCCCACTCGCCTGCAACCAGGAGACACCCCCACCCCAGCAGCATGCCTCACCATTCTGGCCGGGGGTGTAGATGGGCTTGTCAGTCTGGACAAAGGTGTAGCCAGTGTGTGGGGAAATCAGGATGTATTTCTCCAAGGGGACATCTCCGAACGTGGCCTGGACCACCACATACTGCTTCTCGGTGCCCTCGGAGACGTACTGCTCTGGGACCTGGAAGGCGTGAACGAGCCGTGCCAGAGCCCCGGGTGCAGCCCCGCATCGCCTGGGAGCATGCAGCACCCAGCCCCGGCCGGCTCCCGGGTCAGGGCACCTGGGTCCGTGCACCGCGAGGGACAGACCCGTGCTAGTGCCTGGGGCCCCGTGTGCACAAGGGCAGCTGGGGACACACACACCCCACATACCCACTACATGGAGAAGAAACTCCCAGTAAGGAGCCTTCCCCTCTTCTGAGGCGCTCCAGGGGCTTGGCCAACCACACACTTCCCCCACCTGCCAAGGGAGCACCAAGGACCGGGTCACCCACCACTGAGAGGCGGCCACCTCTGGAGAGGACCGCGGCAGGTGTTTAACAGCTGCACAGCAGGCTGGGGCAGGGAGGGCCAGAGAACCCCGCCCTCAGCTGTGATGGCAGAGGGGAGGGGGCCGGGACTCCAGTGTCAACGCCCCGATTCTCACAGAAAGGGCAGGGGGAGGCCTTAGCAATGGGGGGGGCAGGGGTGGAGTTTCACATCTTGTACAAAACCCAGCAGCAACCCCCAGGGACCAACACTGACTGTCAGGGGAGAGCCCCCCACTGATCCCCCACTCCACTCCCCACAACACAGCACCCCCCCAGTGAGCCCCCACCCCACTCCCCACAGCACAGCGCCCCCGCTGATCCCCCACCCCGTTCCCTGCAGCACAGCGCCCCCCACTGATCCCCCACCCCGTTCCCTGCAGCACAGCGCCCCCCAGTGAGCCCCCACCCCGTTCCCTGCAGCACAGCGCCCCC